GCCCAGAAACAGGTGGAAGCCTCTGGGAGACCGGCCAGGTGGTACTTGGGGCCTGTCCCTTTTGTCAGCCACCTGTGATCCACATGTGTCCCTGATCTGGGCCCAAGTATACTGAGGCAAGTGTTCTGTCCTTTACCCACAGCCTGCAGTTAGGAGCCGAAGGACATGACAGTTGACCATTTTTCTTCTTCTCATACCTATTTTTTTTTCCTCACTTGGCTGCCTGTGAGGAACAGAAAGCTACCTGGCCAGTTAGTCATAGGCTCCCAGACATACTCTTGTGCTCTTGGTGGCTCCAGAGACCCGCATATGTTGGGGAAGGAAATGGGTTGGTCTGCAGGAGTTGACTGCTTTCTTAGGAGGTACTGAATGGACTTAGCCAGAATCAAGGCCATGGGTGAGTGTGGAAAGCCTTGTTTTTCCTTTTTGAGCCCTGTTCGAGGCCTCAGCTGGGCTCCCAGGGGCCACTGTTCTGGAGGTCAACATAAGTTCCTGCCCCGATGTCAGTGGGCTGACTTGAAGACCACCTTCCTATGTTCAGCCTGTTTGACTTCCTGCTGCAAGTCAGTGTGTTCCTCAGTGTGTGAGGGTGAGGCTGGGTACCATTGCACAGCCCGGTTCTCAGGTCAGGACGCTGAGTCACATTGGCTTAGGGGACCCACCTGGTCTAGCTGCTCACAGCTCTTTAAACATGGGGAGATCTGGGGCCTGCCAGAGAGGAGGGTAGGCTGGCCCTCCAACTAATGAGCCCGTTGGCATTCTGCACACAGCTGCAGGTACACAGTAATTGGAGAGGCGAATGTCTAGGGGAGGAGGAGGGGCAGATCAATCTGGCTCACTTTGGCGCTAATGGCAACAAGCAGCAGGGGTTGATGCCTAGTGTGAGCCTGTGTCACTCTGGAGATGCAGATGCTTAAGCCGTGGTGCAAGTCTGGTGAGAGGCCCATCTAAGACTGCACTGGAGCTGCAGGGGGCCTTGGTTTGGCTGGGTATGGATGTGAAGTGAGGATGCCTCTGATCCATCCATATTCAGGTTCCTGACTTGTGAGTCCAGCTTTGCCTCTATTTATTTTGTCATCTGCAGAGGAGTTGCCCCTCTTCTCTCTTGACTGGAGCAAGGGCCAGGAGCAGAATCCATGTCCCAGCCCTGTTTGGCTAGCCTGGGCTGCCAGCTCTGTTTGGAGCTGCCCCACCAACAGGCCAGGCTGAGCTGCAGTGTGCTCCCCAGTGATTTCTCCTTTTCTTGGAGACCATAAAAGCTGACAGGGCAGCACAGTATTCTCATGACCCAACCTGTTCCAGCTTTAGGTTTGCTGTGGCTATCAGTGGCCCCATTATGCCTGCTTCTTTCCATCTCTCAGATGAATGACAGGGGCCACAGTGAGTGTCTGTGGTCTAGGTTGGCTGGCCCCTCATAATGGCTCTTTGTGTTCAGGTGGCAGCAGCAAGCCATGGGTACCAGCCAAAATCTACTATGTGCCTGTCCAATTCAGTCACCCTGCAGGTTGGCCTCATTACCAGAGCCCTGAGCTACACAGGCCTGCAGGGAAATATGAGTGAGTGTCCTTTACCCTGAGGACCTGAGATTCAGCCCGGTGACAAGCTGTGCAGGCTGAGGGCTGGAGGTGGATGGCTGCTTGGTGTGTGGCTGAGACAAAGCAGCTGTGGGTGCATGTAGTAGAGCAGGCTTTGATCAGCTCCTCTGTGAGGACAGCACATACTAAAATGAGGCTGGCACAGGGCACTGCCAGGAGCCACTGTCTGGCTTAGAGATGTCATGCAGACTGGAGAAATGCCCTGAGAAGGGTCCTGGTCCCTGCCAGGGTCCCATGTCCCCCCTGCCCTCTCAGCAGATGGAGAAATCTAGTTGCCTTGAATTGTTTCCTTCTCTCCCCATGGCTGAGAGGCTGAGGCTGATGTAGAGAATGCAGTGGTCATTTTGACCACTTTGTCAGTTGGAAGGAGGGTGGACTTTGTCTTTAAGAACTAGGAAGTGGCTTGATATGGGCATTCAGGGGTGGGAGCTTAAGTCTGGCTCAAGATATGGTGGAAGGTTTGGACCATTCTCATTAAATTTCTCTGAGTTATACTGGTCCAAGGGTAGGTTGGGTGGTCTTGACAGGGGCCACTTTCCTGAGCCAGACTCTGAGTCCCGGGCACCTTAGAAGTTTGCTCCTTGGGGAGGGAGCAGGTCTTTCTCCCTTGTCAGACTCCTCACCCAGAGAGCAACCTCTGCTCAGCGGCCTGGGCCAGCATTGGCGGAAGGGGAAGCCTAGAACGTTCTACATGGGAGGAGCCAGGCAGCGCCTCTCTCTGGGAGGAGAATGCAGCAGGGCTGCTGGACAGGTCTGAGTGCTGTGGTGGTGACATCGTCAGGATGGGGAGGGCAGTGTTAAATGCACTCACTCTAATACTTGTCGTTGGCCTCTAGCCCTGGCCCAGCGTGTCCAACCTGGCCAAGGACTTCATTGACCGCCTGCTGACAGTGGACCCCGGCGCTCGAATGACTGCACTGCAGGCCCTGAGGCATCCATGGGTGGTGAGCATGGCAGCCTCTTCATCTATGAAGAATCTGCACCGCTCCATCTCCCAAAACCTCCTCAAACGTGCCTCGTCGCGCTGCCAGAGCACCAAATCTGCCCAGTCCACACGTTCCAGCCGCTCTACACGCTCCAACAAGTCACGCCGTGTGCGGGAGCGAGAGCTGCGGGAGCTTAACCTGCGCTACCAGCAGCAGTACAATGGCTGAGCCACCTGGCTGGGCTGCAGACATGGCATGGTCCCAGCCTGGCCACACATTGCTGTGCCATCTGGGCCCAATGCCCTCTCTAGAGATGGGCTTGTATGGCCGGTGGTAGGTGAATGGCCCCAACCCCTTCTCTGTGCCTTCAGCAGCCCCCATCTTCACCCTGGGCCTGAGCCTGGTGAACTGGGAGCCTGGCTTGGCATGGATGCGACTTTTGGTGGGCAACTACTCTGGTACCAGTTAGGGAAAGGGCAGGCCCTGGCCTTTGGTCTCACTTCTTGGCTCTTCCCCAGACCAGAGGAGCATGCAATGCCAGGTAGACGGTGTCCTCTGGTCGCAGGACTCTTTGGGACAGTTACTTCTGGAACCCACCTTTCCTCCACCAGGCCTTCCTCCCTGACTCTTCCCCCTTGTCCACCCCCCCCCCATATTCCATGGCATCCTGATCCTCATGATTATGCTCTGGTGAGAGGCCCAGGGAGGCACACAGCTTGTGCCTTGGCTGGACTCTCAATCCCTGGCTAAGTCTAAACAGCCCTCCACCTCCCAGCCAAGACCTATCTTGCTTCATGGTGCCCCCAGGGACCCCTCCTCTGGCCCTAGGACTTGTCAGGCTCTCTGGTGGTAAGGCCATGGAATGGTTCTTGGCCCTCTGGACTGTGTGGCTGTGTTGATAGCAGGCTTGCTCCAGGCTCCAACCTCTCCGTCTATGAGAGAGTTTCTGCCCACCAGCCTACTGCTCTCAGTGCCTGCTTTACAGAGCCTACCATCACCTCCCTCTACCCCTTGGATGCCCATTCTGTTCCCCAGGTGCCTCCTTCCCAACTGTGGGGAGACTAAAAGGAGCCCCACTGCTGCTACCTGGAGGGTGGGGGCACCTGGGGGTGGGGGCACCTGGGCCAAAGCAAAGGGCAGGGGCTTCACAGGGAGAGCCTCATCAGGATTCCAGTGTCAGCCCTGGTTTCACGCTTGGTATTGCCCACTGCCTCTCCCTTCAGCTCTGATGTTCTCTCTTCTGCAGCTGCATGAAGGTGCCATCTAGTGTCTGGCACAAGTATGGGCAGCCTAGGAATGACCACCTTGCTCACCTTTCATCCTCTAAGAGGAAGTGGGGAGGAAGGAGCTGCTGCACTGAGGGAGGGTCCCAGGGCTGCTCAGTTCTCTCCCCTTCTGCTGAGCTTCTGTGCGGCTTCTCCTGGAACTTAGCCATACTGTGTGACCTGCCTCTGAACCCTGAGTGCCTGGGGCACTGGCCTTTTCACAGGTGGCCCTGCCTGGTCCAGCCTGTCCCCGCTTGTTTTCATAGCATTACTCTTCCAGTCAGGGCCCTGCTGAATCTCAGACTGGAGGGAGCCCCTGCAAGAGGTGGGTGGAATTAGGTGGCCTCTTTCCCAGAGGCCTGAGCCAGACCATCCCCCTATCAGCCACAGTGCCTCCTCCCACCACAAGCAGGGCTGGAACTCAAGCCCCCTCCCTCCACAGCTACTTTCTGTGGGTGGGAAGGAGCCAGGGCCCAGCTATAGCCTTAGCTGGATTGCAGGGCCCCTGCCAGCAGGGAGGGTTTAGCCCTCAGTTCCTCTCAGTGGGTACCCTTGAGGCAGGCCCTCCTCTTTTTGCATGTGCCATCTCCAGTGGGAAACCAAGCTAAAAGAGACCACTCTGGGCCAAGTCAACTGTGCCTTATATACCGCTTCCTTCTGTCCCCAGTGCTCCCAGCACCAGGCAGTGGAAAGCCAAAGCCCCATGGCCTCAGAATTCCTCCTATTTCCCAAAGTGCCTCTGGGGCCTAAAATCCTGGGGATTTATTTCCTCTCGGCCAGGGTGGACCTGGTCCTGAGGATAAGACAGAGGGAGTTTGGAGACTTGGGCCTTTATGCTACAGACTGTGGATGGAGAATGTGCAGTTATTTATTTTGTGTACTCAGTTTGTAAATGTATCCTCCGTACTCAATAAACAGGCTGCCTTCCCCAGGGAAGGCTGCCCATTCATTCTGACAGCCCAGTCTCCTTGCTGTGGACCAAGGGGTTGCCAAGGAGGTGGGGGAGCCCAACCTGGTCTTGGCTAGTCTGGGAGGATCCTGACTCCTCAACACCTGCCATGCCAGAAGACAAAGTCATTGTGTGGAGTGGGACTCCCAAGAGCCTCTCCTTTTCCCTGAGCCAGGAAGACAGACAGGAATATACAAGAGGACAGAGCCTGGGGTCTTTACTGGACTGAGATGGGGAGAGGGCCTCTGGTGGGCTCAGTTGTAAGCTATGCCTGATTGACCCAGGTGCTGAACTTGCTAACCTGAGTGTACATGGCAGGTGCACACACATTGCAGTCACTGGTGCCCCGGGAAACAATACTAGTAAGCACCCACACATTCCCATTCTGGCTGATAAGAGGACCTCTGGAGTCATTCCTGAGGGGAAGAAGGGCGAAGTCAGCGTGGGGGGTGCAGGGTGCCACAAGGTGCAGAGTACAGGATGGGGTGCTGTGCTCACCTGGCACAAGGAGGCCCTTGAAGCACTTGCACAAATCATGGAGTTGGTGATGTGTGAGCCCCAGAACTGCTGGCATTGACTCACGGTGACCAGGGGCAGAACCACCTGCTGCAGGCATGCCGGAGTCACATTGTCTATGGGCCAAGAGGGGGTGGTTAGCCCCCAGATGACTTGTCCCCACCCTACACTCCCATCCAGATTTTTGATCCAAGTTCCTACTCATGCCACTGAGGCGGCCCCAGCCAGTGGTGACACACGTGAGGCCTTCAGGCAGCACCTCATTTGAGGAAGCCAGGCAAACTGGTGAGATACATGTTGTGTACTGGGCTGGGGAGGCGAGCTTCAGTAGTGTAAGATCATTATTGATGGTGGTGGGGTTCCAAGAGGGGTGCGTGATGGCCTGTGGAGCCAGGAAGGGGCCATGTAGGATGGGAGTGGGCACAGGCCCCCAGGTAATGGGTGCTGAGGAGGCTAGGCTAGGCATGTCCTGAATTCCTCATCCCCAGAGCCCACACACCTGCACCACCCACTCTTCCCTATCTGCAGCCCAGGGACTCACCCGAGAGATGGACAGAACCTGCAAAGTCTCAGCACTGGATGATGGGTCGTACTCGCCCAGGATGACAAAGTGGCTGCAGTAAGAGTGGGGTTGGGCAGCCGCAGGGAGGGCAGAGTGACAAGAGAGGGGCATCCAGGACAAAGGAGTTGAGGAGGTGTGGACTGGGGTGGGGCAGGTAGAGGGGAAGCACTCACACAACATTGCAGTAGGCAGCAATGACCATCCAGGCCTGGCTGCTGAGGGAACCACCGCAGAAGTGAAAGTCTTTGCTGTCCTGGGTTCAGGGGTCAGACATACGGTGCACTCAGGCTATGCCTAGGCATGAAGCACCTGGGATCTTGCCCCACCCGCAGGGTGCATGTACCTGCAGGGATACCTGGCAGGGCCAGGAGCCCAGCAGTACCTTCTCCCCATTGACAGCCCTCTAGCTGAAGCTCAGCACCGGTTTGATGGCAGGAACACTGCAGCCTGCCATTGGGCTGGTGAGGACCTGTTTCCCACATCCCAGCCTACCTCTCACCTCCTCCTGGGTGTCCCCAGGGTAAGCCCCCTAGAGGGGTCCAAATCGAGAAGACTCATTACGCCTTCTCACCCTTAGCACCTCTGGGCCTGTAGCTATCTCAGCTGCCTGCATCCCTAGCCTCCAGGTTCTGTCTGTTCTCCCACATCTCTCCAACCTACTCCCTACCATTTCTCAATTCCACCCCGACCCCCCAGCCCAGGCCATCTTTCTCCCTGATCCCTGGGATAGTCTCCTCCCTAGCCTCTCTACCCACTCCAGATTTCAATGATCCATACCTTGCATGCAGGTTAAGGGCTCTTCCTAAACTACAGGTCCAACCATTGCTTCTCAGCTTCCTAAAACCTCCCCCTGGGCCTGGCCAAGCTCCTGTCCCATTTGTGGGATTGCCTACCTCTTGCTTCCTCCCAGCCCTGGCACATCCTTTTTCCTCTGCCCATTCTGTCTACCTGCTTTCCTTCAAGCCAGCTGAGGGGCCAAGGGTCAGTCTGAGCAGCAACATTGTGATAGGCATGAGGCTGAGAACTGGGCCTGGCTTTATGGCATTCCTTGTCCTTGGGCCTAAGGCCAAGCCAGCTGTGTAGGTTCAGCCCCCTCCCATGCTCTAGTCAGGAGGAGGGTCTCTTTAGGCCGAGGTCCTTGACCCAGGCCCTGACTTACTGGAGTCCAGGTGTGAGGTTCCCATCTCCTTCACTCTCCTAAAGCCTGGCCTATGACTGGCTCCTAGAACCACCTCACATCCTAAGTACTGAGCACCAGTTACCAAGGAATTAAGGTTAGACTTACAGTGACTACCTGGTGGCTGGGATCAGGAAAGTCTCCCAGGCTATCAGGGACACCAGACTCAGAGAAGCCTGCTGAGCACCCAGGGGTGTTCTGACTGGTGGAGGGAAACTCCAGCTGTTACCAGCTCCACTGTTGAGGGCCAGGGCCATGTGGCCAGGTCAGGGGTTCTGGCAGGTTGCATATCCTAACATATCATTTCAGTGATTCCTCATCAGTTTGGAACAGGAGTCACAGTTTGCTTAGAGATGGTGACTCTCCCACTACAATGTTCATTTGGACCCAAACCTTTATCTGCCTTGCTCCGAAGCCCATACTCTTCGTGATGAGATGATACCTGGAAGGGGCCTGGTGTACAGGAGGGCAAGGTGTGATGCTCGACACTGGATGGGGTCACAGGTGGAAGGGTGACAGCCATCAAATCTTTGACAGCTTCCAGGCCTTGGGGTTCCCATGGACAAGCCCCTGCTATCTACAGCCCATTCATTGTAGAGCTCCAGGCTGAGCCTGAACTGAGGGAGAGAAGACGCTCCTGTGTACAAAGCTGCAATAGGTTAAGTTGGCTGGCCTCCTTCGAGGGGTATGAGGACTTTGAATGATTCAAGAACGTTATCAGCCCCAAAAAATTAGTTAATTGTTGATTAGAGGAATGGATGGATAAATCAGTGATAAAAGAAATATAACAGCATACTAATTGTAAAGTCTGTGGTGGGTATAAAGGTGATCAATGTACAATTCTTTCAACCTTTATGTTTAAAAATCTTCGTAATAAAATACTGGAGAAAAAGCACAGTCAGGATCCCAGAGATGTCCAGACTGGAGTAGACCCTCCCCAGAGGTTGGGAAGACTTTAACAGGTCCAAAGCTCCAGTGGAGCTCAGCCATTCTCTCCCAGGACAGGATGCTTCTGTCAGCACCGAGCATCTGGGATGGCACCCAGTGGATGCTGAACAAGTCTACTGGATAAATGTGTCGTGTCATCTCTCCCCACATGAGCCTTGTGACCCCTGTCAGCACAGAAAACTTGGGAGTCAATTCCCCTATTCACAGCCCAGCATGTGTAAACAAGCCCAGTGTTGTGTTAGCACCTCAGGTGTGCCTGGTCATCTGAGGGGTTTCACAGATAAAGGCGTTGCAGGGGTGAGGAGTGTACCTGTGAGAACTTGCCCTTGGAGTCAGGAAGCAGCTCCTCCATCAGCATTTTAGCCATTCGCGGGGGCAGCGGGGCCCGACTGAGACATGTGAGCTTTGTCCTGGGCCATTGATGAGCCAGGTAAAGGCTTTGGTGGGGGCAGTACATAGGGCCTTTTGGGTTTTATAACAGTTCCCAGTGGACTAGAGGGCATGGGAGTGGGTGTGGAGAGTCATGAGGGGGCTTTACACCTTGAGTCTTCAGTGCTTGCCAGGGCTGGGATTCTGGAAAGGTAGATAGATGCCTTTGGTGATGGGTGAAGGGCACCTCTTAGGTCAGGCACTGAAGCCATAGGAGGGAGTGGTCCCTGGAGGGATACCTTAGCCACAGAGCCCTGCTGGCTGCTTGTCCCCCTCCACCCAAGAACGATATAGCCATGTGTTTAGGTGTTTGTGTTCTTTGGGTTTATTCTTCCTTGTTCCAAGCTCTAAGCCTCTGCCAGCATCACTCCACATCCATGGCCTGCACCGTTTCCTCCAAGAGCTCCAGGGTCAGTGGCATCACTGTTTCGGACAGGACGGCTGTGGTCCCAGGGACAAAGCGGTACTGGCTGGACCTGGGAAGGAGAAGGGATGACCTCGCAACATGGGCCCATCACGTGGCCCATCCTCTCTTTGCAGCCCCCTATCTCCCTTGCTACCACCCCATCCTCCCCTGTGGTCCCCCGTCTCCATGCTCCTACCTTTCTATGGGCTTTGTGGGAGAGCTCAGTGTTCTCAGCAGCTTGGCACCAGTCCCCGTGATCACACATGCATCCACACTGCCCCCAGAGCCCAGGTCACCCAGGATCCCTGCAGTGATGGCTTCCACTAGCAGCCCCTGTGCTGCCTCCAGCTGTAATGATGTGTGTGTATATGAAGCTGGGTGGACCCTTCTGGTATCACCCTCAGGCTACAACCTTGAGACTTTGTTAATCTTTAAGCCTGGACTACTTACCATTTGCTCACACCCAAACCCTTCTCTTCCCCTACACCCCCGTCTCCACCCCAAGCTCCTCTTTCTTTGTTTTAGGCTTCCTTCTCTCCAGAGACCCTGTGTTCCCACTGCCCCCCGTCTTCACAAACTACTCTGAGTCACAGATATGGCTCTTGCCTGTCCACCCACCCAAGGTGGTCTTAGCCCCCGGTCCCCGGCTCACTGCCTTTTTCTTTCTGGGCCTTAGACAGCTTTGAAGCAACGTCTTCTGCTTCCATCCACCACAAACAAAATCCACCAGCCCCCACCTGCTAGTCCCTCCTCCCTCAGCTCCAAATGGTTCTCTCTGACTTTCGACTTCTGGAGTGCAGTCCAGGCTTTGGCACTGACAGTGGTCTGCTGGAGTAGCACTTCTCCACCCTCACTCCACTGGCCCCTCAGTCTCCACTTAGTCGTCACCTCCCAGAAGCCCTTCCCGACTTCCAGACTAGGCCGGGGTACCTCTACGTTTCCCCAGCTCCCGGGGGGACTTCCCACCAATGCACGCAGAGTGGGGGGCGGGTGTCGCTCACCGTCATGTTCGGCTGGAACCGGTCCTCCAGCACTGCCAGGGCTGCGTCTTGGCCGGAGCCTGCAGGCAGGAGGGGTGTCTGAGGTTAGCCTCGGCCGCCCCGTCGCGGGACAAACGTGAGGCCAGGGTCACATGGGCGGGGTTCGTGGGGAAGGGGCGCAAGTGCTTACCCAGGGCCGTGAAGGGCAGACGGCTGTAAGAGCCATGGGGGTGCACGCTGTAGAGCTGCGGCCCTGTGAAGTCTACGCCACCCACGATCAGCGAAGCCCCGACGTAGCCACGGTACCTTTTCGCGGAGTGGGCGCAGTCAGCCGAACGCACACGGATCCAGGTCCCGCCTCTCCACTATTCCACCCCTGAACCGAGCCCCGCCCCTTCCCGTGGTCTTGCGCCCCATGACCAGCATCGCTTCTCCCTGTTGCTCTCTTAGCTCCTCTTAGGCCCGCCTCTTCCGGTCTCCCAGACCCTCGCAGCCTGGCCCTTTTTCCTGGTTTACCTCCTCAGCCCCGCCCTCCCCGCAACTGCCCCTCCCCAGAGTCATCTTAGTCCTGCCCCAATACCGGAAGAGCGTCTGGCGCAGGATGCGCGTGACCGTGGCCACTCGGGGCTCCCTGCCCGTGGACAGCGTGTGTAACTCTATGTTGGACGCCGCCATCCGCGTGGTCATCTCGGCGTCCGCGGCTACTCCAGCCCCACAGCAGCTGAGGGTGAAGGGAGGGTCAGTATGGGCGGGGCTAGGATGTGCGGGGACTCGGGACGGGAACGATGGGGTGGTTCTTGAGTGGGGGAACCAGGCCCGGGAATTCTCACTAGATTTTGGGGGCGATGAAGTGGATCTTTTCGCAGCTCTTGTCCGCCACGACTGAATCGTCAGTGGCCCGCGTATCCGCGCCCAGTATGACCCCGTCCTGGGGAGAGGGGCGAAGAGGAGGAGCCGTTGGCTCAGTGCCCACCTCCCATTGCCGGCCGGCCCACTAAGCCGCACAGTCCAATTCCCTGCTCACTTGGAACACAAGGCCTGCGATGGTGGTCCCGGTCTTGCGTGCATGAGGGACCCGGAGCCCCGGGAGGGCGCGTTCCAAGGATGCGTTTCTGAAAACAGAAGAGAGTGGCCCAGGTTTCAGTTCTTCTGGGACCCCATCACATCCCTCGACTCCTTCCTGGTCTCCCTCACCTGGGGAAGGCCTGGGAATCCAAGTCGTACAACACACGTACCCTCCCCCAAACTCGCCCCAGTAATTTTAAAGGCTCTGGGACTCTCACTCCCGGATGCCCTCACAGCATTCGGGACCAACCATCCCCTAACTGACCTCTGGCAGTTACCGAAGGAGAAGCCCCCTCGGGGCTCTAGCGCCTTCTTCTGCATCTCCAGGTGGGCAGGGCAGTCCAAGGGGTTGGGGGTCGATGGTCAGACGAGTGGAATCAGCACCGAGCCGGGAAGGCGGCAGCCTTGTCCTCTGGGCTCTATGTCTGATGCTTCCCCTTTCGCTTTCACCTTTCCTCAAAGCATGCTGGCCCCTTTCTGCACCTTCTCTTTCACTTTCACCTCTGGTCCTCGGCAGCTTGGGCTGGAGAAGATGTTGTTTGCCTGGCTCTCCCTTCCCAGCCCCGTCTGAACAGAGGGACAAATCTCTCCCTTCTGGCCATTGTCCAGACTGAGCCTTGAGCTATGCGTACCCTGACACCAGTCCTAACCTCAAGTCTCAATGCCCTAAGGCTGTCACACTGACCAGGTCTCTGTTCTCATTGTTACTGGCCTTCAAACAGCATCAGGCATGGCTGCCTTTTGTCCTTTGTCACCCACCTCCTGACTCCTGTCTCTCTTTTGTTGCCTTTGCCTTCTCCCTGAAACCTCAAACACCAAAGCTCAATCCTCAGCCAAAGTGGTGCTGACCCTTCCATCTTCCTTGTCTCAGGTGCTGTCTTCCCTCTGTCAAGAGGGGAACTGTGGCTGTCCATCTGGTGGCCCGTAGGCATGCTGAGCTCTACCCATGGCCAAGCCTTATTTCACCTCCCAAGTGACCTTTTTTTTAATCCACATCTTTCTCATTACCCCTTGTCTCAGCTGGCATACTCTCTCCCCTGGATATTGCACTGGCCTCCCTGGCTTTCCCACAACTTTTGCCTCACATCCCCCACCCCAGGCTACACTCTACCTTTCAGAGAGGCTTTTCTAGATTGAAAATCTGGTCACACTTTCCCTGGTTAAACCCTTCAGCAGCTGCACACTGCTCTTAGGCTCAAACCAGTCTTTACAGAGGCCCATGTTACTCATTCTCCTGGTCTCAGCATAGGCACCGCCTCCTCTGGGGGCGCCTACCCTGACCCACAAGACCCACCTCCTTGTTGCTCCACAAACTCTGTTCTCAGACTACTTAGTTCCATCAATTAAAGTTAAACCTTCAGTAGTGAAATGACTTGTTTAGTGGCTGTCACCCTCCCAGATTCTAAGTTCTTGTGCTTCTGTCACCTACCTAGCACTCAAAAGGCCTATCTAGAGGTGGGGTCTCGCCTGCCCTTTTGGGAGCTAGGAGGGACAGCTCTGATCTTCCCCATCCTGCACCCTTGGCTCCATGTAAACCTATTCCACAGCTGTGTGTGCAGCTCCTCCAGTCCTCATGCCCCTAGCAGAGGCAGGCACAAGGCAGGCTGCCTAAACAACTCAACCAGGAGAGTGGGAAGCTGTACTGTCAAGGTGCCCTGTTCAATCCCAGGCTTTAGGAAAGCCCACCTTGTCCTGTGCTCCACAAAGCACCAGACCTGCAGCTCCTGATGAATGAATCCTGGTGTGTGGCACCTAATGCCTCCCTCTCACCCCACAATACACATGTCAGGGCTTATAGCAGCAGAGGAAGTCTTTATTCAGGGGGCAGGAGTGCTGGGCTGGCAGCTGAGGGTATAGGGGTGCTATTTCGATAGGTACCCAGCAGGATGGCATTGATGTGCTCCAGTGTCTGGTTGCTGAAGACCATATTCAGGTGCTGTGTCCCAGGCAGAGGCAGCAGGTACACAGGCTGTGGCTGGCGGCCCTGCCAGCGGGCACAGAGCTCTGTGCTGCGTGTAGCCACAGTGTCATCACCATCCTCGTAGAGCACACCCACGGGGTCCGTGTAGGGGAAGCCGTGGTCAAAGATATAGGTGCGGGGCGTGGGCAAGCCCACACCATACAGACAGTATACTTCCACACCAGGAGCTGGGAGTCCTGCCAGCAGGTCACGTGACTGTAGCCACATGTACCAGCCTTCCTCAAAGCGCAGGTCTGCAAAGAAGCGCTGAAAGTCACGGATCGTGTAGTTGAAGCTAGGAGTGGAAATGAACACATGGTCCTCGGGCCACACCTGGCTAGAGGGAAACATCCAGGGCGAGGTTGTGGTCATGCGCTGCTCCTCTTTAAGCTTGATGCTGGACATGATTGGGATGCCCTGGTTGTCACCTGTGGACACAGAGGAAGGTGGGGCTACCCCCAGCCCACAACTTGCCCCAACCCAAGCTCAACTGGATGGTCAGTCTTGTCCTTGTCAACTCCAAACATTGACTCCAAGTCATAGACTAGAACAGGCCTGGCATTCAGTAGGAGTTCCGTGTGTGCTTGTAAAGTGAGAAGCCCCAATGACACCTCTATGAGGCAGAGCTGTAAGGCCTCAAGAGGAGAGCAGGGAGGGGTTTCCTGAGGATGGGAGTGTGTGTGTGAATGGTGGGATATGGTGCTGGCGGTTCTCCCTTAGGCAAGCATCTGTCTGCCCCTGTGACCTGTGCTACACAGGGCTTAGAGCTGTGTTCTGGCAAGGATGAAATGAGACAGAGCTTTGATGTAGTATGAGGAGTGTTTCCCTCCCCAGACCTTGAGCTCCTTGGCTGTGCTCGACAAGTGGTAGCTGCCTCTCCTTGGGGAGGGGCAGGAGGGGCTCCTAGGGTCTGGCCCTGGCTTTGGCAGATCTGTCCTCAGTAGGGCAGATCTCTGGGCAGAGGGGCTCCTGGGAGCAGAAAGGAGCTGAAAAGCTGGGTAGGCAGGACCTGAGGCCATAAGAAACAGACTTCAGTCAGATTCAGCAATGAGTCAGTTTGCTGGGGTTCACTTTCTGTTTACTTTCCCTTTGTCATTGCTGAGACAGACTCTGTCAGGAGCCATTCTAATGATCCAGGCCAGGCTCACTGCTCTCGGAGGGCCAGTGAAAGGGGCTGTGCCCCAGATGTGGGAGACAACACCCCCAGCCTGGCACTGAGAAGAAACGGCGAGGGCAGGCCCACAGTCAGCTTCATTCCACCCCACACCTCCCTACAGGATACAAGTGATCAGAGGCCCTCTCACCTGAGGCCAAGACTAACATGGGCTTGACGGAGCCACCCCAGGGAGCCCCAAGAGAGATGAAACCATCGATGAAGCGGTCCTTCCAGGCCTGGGGCTGGCGCAGCAAGAAATAAAGCACGTGCAGGCAGCCGAGGCTGTGCCCAATAAGGAAGACGGGCTTTCCGTAAGTAGCATGCATTTCCTCCACCAGCCCAGCAAGCTTCAGGTAGTACTCCTCCTGCTGGCCTGCAGAGGGATGGATGGGTCAGGGCAGTGGGAGTTAATGGCCACCTGCCCTGCCCCAAGCCCCCCATACACAGAGGCACTCACTGGGCTCCAGCCGCCAGTCGTAGGGCGCGGCCCGTACTGTCTCATCCCGTACATACCCATTGTTGACCAGGTTCTGTACCAGTGTGTGCAGATAACCTGTAGGGGAAGCAGTGGCACTGGGAGCTCTGGCCATGGCTCCTACAGGCCCGCCACAGTCTAGAGCCCCAGCCTTCCCCTCATACACACACCTGCCAACTTGCTGTTGTCCAGGTACTCAACGGAGTAGGTCTTGCCAAAGCCAGGGACACGGATCTGTACACCAGGGGCATTGGAGACGCGCCCAGAGCTGCGGTTGTAGACAACCCTGGGGATGGTGGGACATTCAGCAGACCAGCAGCCAAGGAGTAGGGTGTTGGGGCTGGGCCAGAGGGGATGGCACGAACCTGGTGTTATCGATCCAGCAGTCTACCCCAAGGGGTAGGAACATATTGAGGTCCAGCCAGATGGTGAAGAAGTCCTCTGTCTTGCGGTAGCACATCCAGTTCACCACATCTGGTTTATCCAGCTTGGCTTCCAGCTGATTCCCCAGGCAGCCAGGCACTGTGGGCACTAGCCTTCACTCTGGATTCCTCTGATTTCCCTACAACGGACCCTCCCCACAGTGGACCCCACCCCAGTCTCACCGCCCAGACACTGCAGTGACAGCCCTGCCCCTTCATCTCCCACACCCTCAACTGCCAGGACTAAGGACAAGATCCTCTTTCTGATCACATCCCCTGCTGTATCCCCCGAAAGCCCAGGTTCCCCTCAGGCAGAGAAGGTGCAGGGGCCAAGGCTGCTGACCCCTGCCCCCACAAAGCAAACATCTAGCGTGGCTCTCCATTACTGCCAAAGTCCAAGAGGAGAACAAATAGTATGGGGGAGAGGGGGCTGGACCTGGGGGTAGAGGGCAGGACTTGATGATCCTCTCCTACTTTCCTAGGCTGGATATCTTGTCCCTGCTGGGGTGGGAGCTGAGGAAGGAGTGGTGGGGCTTGGCCTAGGGTCTGGTGGCTGCAGCTCATTATAGCTTGTAATGCCCTGGCCAAGCCCTCAGGCACACCTACCCTCCACTCCACTCACCTGGGGCTGACAACTCAGAGACACAGGAACAGTGTGGTATGGGAAGGGGTTGATTTCTCTGCAGGAAAAGCCTTTGGCCCCTCTGAATACTGAGGCCAGGATCAGGGCTAATGCAGGGACAGAAGGGCTTTGGCAGGCTCTGCTACCAGGGGCTAGGACCCAGGTTCCCCAAGGTCTGGCCTGGTGTACCAGGGGCCTGGCGGGGGCTTACCGAGGATGACGGGCCGTGTGTGGTTACTGAGCTCAGCCTTGGGCGTGGTGTGCGGGGGGAAGAGCACATTGAGGAGCCAGAAGGGGGCGGCAGGGGGGACCAGCAGCCCAAACAGCAGTAGGACCCACTGCCGTGGGGAGCCGGGCAGCCCCATTCCAGTCCTAGTGCCTATTGCCCAGTGAAGCAGTTCTGGGCTGGCCTTATCTAGAGTAGGGGGTGGGAGGGGCCCCAGGGCCAGTGGGAGGGACAGCCTGGCCAATAGGGGCAGCCAGAGGTTGCTGGAAAGGGGCACAGCCTCAGGGAGCCAGCTCTGGGCCTGAGTTCAGTTCCGCCTTCTTCCCTTGGCGCCAGGGGAAACAGAGCCGGGGCAGCAGGAGGCCCAGAAGTAAACAATGTTTTATTGAAAAAAGTCAGGCTTCAGCTGGCTAGCTCCATTCAGCTCGGCTTGGCGGGGGGTCCCTGCCCACAGTAGCCTGAGCCAGATCTTCCTGCAGGCAGGCTGGGCCAGACCCCTCCCTTGTTGCCCTTTCCCTCCTCTCTGTTGGTGACATCCGAACAATAAATATGCAATAAATAGTGCTCCTGGTACAGCTGCCTTCAAACCCCACGTCAGCCCCCACCAGTCTTC